AACAAATATGTGGAACAACATGGGGAACTGCCAACTTTTGACTGTATGAGAATGAAGGATGGCTGGCACTCCGTCATCTACAGAATCTGTTTTGGCAATTTCTCATCTCTATTTTTATTGGCATTTTCGGTTTAATTAAGGCAGCTTGGTTCAAGGGACACACTGAACCACAATTATGAAAGTGTATCGAATCCCTGGGAACACATCCCTCCATAATGTCTGATGATGCAGATTTTAAATATTTAAAATATTTAAATATTTTTTATTGTATTTAAACATTAGAGAAGCAGCCTGGAACTGCTTCTCTAACCCACCTGCTCACCTCCTTCTCCACAGTCACCCTGAGCCCCCCAAACCTCCTGCTGTCCCCCACAGCCAGTACCTGCCCTTCTGCTACAGAGGAAATGAGCCCCAACTCAACCCAATGAGCCCCTGTGAGCGGCCAAAGTGCAGGTCTGCTCATGTGGCTCCTTTCAGGATGTCCCAACACTTGGGGTTGAGTCCAAACTGCCCAGAGCAGTTATCCAGGTACCAGGCTCTTCCTGCTCTTTTCATCCTCACCTTGAAACTTCGTTTCGATTCCCTGAACAGGGGAGGCACTGACCATGCCGAACTTTCTCCCTAGGAACTCTCTTCTCCTCTTGCTGTCTATGTCCACTCCTCCTTCAGAGCCTGGCTTGCCTGAACTTCCTTATCTCACTCCAAGCTGGTATCTCTGTACAGGCCTCACAGCTACCCGCTCACCCTTAAAGAAATGGGACGTGAGCCCTTGGAGGGCACGGACCCCATTTACTTGTTTGTCACTGTATGACCCCATCACCCTGTATGAGGACTGGTGTGAAGGAAGCACTCATACGTGGAATTAGAAAGAATCCCCATAGGTTTACATTTTTGCATTTTGTAGCCAATCACACCATCATAACTTAAGTGATAAGTATGCATGTTAGTGCATATTTTAGGTATACCACAGAAAATCATTAACGAAATGAAAGTATGGAGAAAATTGTTTTAAGCTTACTTTCCCTAAAACTGACCCCAGCTGCATTAACCAGTGTTTCCTCTCTCCTTTAGCCTACTCTGCCACATGACATGTGCTCCATGGATTTCTACCGCCGGAAAGAAATCTTACATCTTCGGATTCTAAAAATAGCCAAAATGGTGTGCCTGTACATGTTTCAGGTATGACAAAGATTGAAAACAAATATAAATCCTCAGCTTGTACACAAATGTTCATAACAGCATTACTCACGGTAGCCTATAGAGGGGACAACTTAAGTGTGTATCAGCTGATGACCAGATGAACAAAATGTGGCGTACTCTCCACAATGGAATAGTATTTAGCCATAAAAAAGAAATGAAGTACTAATTTGTGGTACAACATGGATGAACTTTGAAAACATCATGTTTCAAAGTAGAAGAAGCCAGCCATAAAGGCCCACGTTTTGTGTGATTCCATTACTGTGAACTGTCCAGAACAGACAAATCTACGCAGAGAGAAAGTAGATTGGTAGCTGCCTGGGGATGTGGGTGGGACAGACTGCGGAGGGATGATTAAGCAGTCCCAGGTTTCTTTTGGGGTAATGAAAATGTTCTGAAATTGGTTATGATGAGGGTTGCAGAAGGCCATAAATACACTAAAAACCACTGACTTGTGGACTTTAAATGGGTGAATTGTATGTGACTTGTATCACAATGAAGTTATTAGAACCAATAAAGTCAGGGCTCATTACCAAAATCACAGTAACATAAAAGCCCCTCGATGCCTCCCTGTGTCTGACCAGGGCCCCCCTGGGAGAGCACGTGTGACGCACACCAGGAGCTCAGTAAATACTTACTGAACTGACATTTAATTGGATAAGAAAGTTAACTGTTATTCCATATTACACCTATTCTTAGAAGAGATAAATAGCCCAAGAGTGTGCAGCTCTCTAAAACACAACCGCTGACACACTGGTGTGTCACCTGGGCTGAGCTGGCCACCTGGCACACTGGGACTGGTGCTGGCCCGGCTGAGCAACTTTGCCCCAGCGTGGGCCCGTCACATCCGCCAGCCGGCACTGGAGACCAGCTCCAGACTGCCTGGACATCTCCTGTGACACTTTTGTTCTCTGGCCGCTTTCAAGACTTTTCTCCTTATCACTGGCTTTAAGCAACTTGATTATGATGTGCCTCGGTGTGGTTTTCTTCATGTTTCTTGTGCTTGGCATTCATCAAGTTCGAATTTGTATGTTTATAGTTTTAATCAAATTTGGAAAATTTCAACCACTGTTTCTCTGAGTATTTTTTTACATGGTCCCCCTTTCGAGGACTCCAAATTATGCATGTTAACAACTACAGTTGTCCCATAGTTTCCAAACGCTCCATTCACTTTTTGACCTTTTTTCTTTCTTTTGTTTCCTGGTAGTTTCTATTGCTATGGCTTCACATCCACTAATCTTTTCTTTTGCTCTGCTGTATCTGATGTAGATTCTGTGGAGACACAGTTTTTACATCTAGAAGTTCAATTTGTGTGTGTGTGTGTGTGTGTGTGTGTGTGTGTTATTTTCTAAATCTGTTCTTAACTGGCTCATGCTTTCCTCTGCCTCTTGGACACACGGAACAGAGTTATAGTAACTGTCTCAGTGTCCTTGTCTGCTGATTCCCTCAGCTGTGTCCTCTGGGGGTCTTTGCCAAGTTGATTGGTTGGTTTTCTCCTCATTATTGGTCATATATTGCACTTCTTTGCATGCTTGCTAACTTTCAATTGGTTACCAGATATGTTGAATTTTAGCTAGTGGGGTGCTAAATATTTTTGTATTTCTTTAAATATTCTTGAGCTTTTGGGGGATGCAATTGAGTTATGTGGCAATAGTTGGATTTGGAAGGCTTCCTTTTTAGTTTTTTGGGGTTTTTGTTTTTGTTTTTGTTTTGGTAGGACCAGAGCAGCCTTTGCTCTCGGGCTAATTTACCTACTACTGAAGCAATACCTTTATGAGTGCTGCACCCAAGGCTCAGTGTTATTACAGGTTTTCCCCTCTGGCTGGTGAGAACATAACCTGTTCCTGGCCCTGCGTGAACTCTGGGGTTGTTCTGCCTGCTCCTTCTGGTGGCTCTTTCCCTGTCCGTGGTTAGTCCTCACAGGCACGAGCAGACGAGTGCTCAGCCGAAGGCTTGAAGGGGATTCTCGGCAGATCTCAAAAGTTTCTGTATCCAAATTGCCTCTGTAGTACAGTCCCCTGAAAATCCTCGCTGCCTTGGCCTCCCCCAGTTTACAACTTTATCTTCTCAGTTCAGAAAGACCCTGGTGTCTACTTGAGTTACCTCTCCCTGTGTCCCAACCTGGAAACTGGCCTCAGGTGGTAAACTGGGCAATCAAAGGGCTCACCGTGTTTGTGTTCTGGCCCTGGTGACCCGTTGTCCAATGTCCAGTGTCTGTCTCATACATTCTGTCAGGCTTTTAAAAATTTAAGGTGAGAAAATGGATTCTGTCCTTGTTTCTGCTTTTAATTTAATGTTACAAACAATCCAGAAGAAAAAAGCCTACACCTTCAAATGCCTAAAATCTAGCATAGAAAAGACCTACTCCTCCCGATAGTGGAAGCTTTCCAATACAAACAGAATCCCATTTTCTAACAGTGATGCTGAACAGAATAAATTCATTTTGACAACTGTTATGACTACCAAGCAAAAAAGGAACTTCCTTAAAAGAAGATTTCTTAAATTTGGATTTGCCGTAAACAGATTCTAGTCATTTACTGCCACAAGCAGTAATCACGTCCCGGGCCCGCCTCACCCTCTGGGGTGCTCCCGGTCAGGGCAGTTCTGGCGAATGCCCCCGGAGTGCCACGGCCGTTTCCTGTTTACACAGACGATGTTTTCAGCTCTCACAACAACCCTAGTATGACGTCTCACAGGCCACAGGGACTGTAAGGAGCCCTGCCAAACAGAAGGCTTTATCCAGCAAAGTGTTATAACCAGAAACAAACTGCTTTCTAAGGAGCCCTTTGCTGCACAGGAATGGATTCTAAATAATTTCTGAAAGTAAAAGAAGCCCCATGATCTGGCATTTGATGATCCATCCTCCTGTGCCAACGTGGGACCCTATTTCTGGAGCAGATCTTGCCTTCTTCAAAGACAGAAATGGCAGCACATACCTGAGGCAAAGTCTGTAAGTGGGTAGAAAGATCAGAAAAAGCTGATTTTTCCTCCATGATCAATTTCGAACGTCCCAGCTGCATGTTTCCTAATGCATATCAACTTAATTGCTGATGTGAGCTGGGGCTTCTACTTCGTATTACTTTACAAAAGGTAAAGGGTAACAATACATGTCAAGAATGTGCCAGAAGCCCCAAAGCATTTAGGAGTCTTCTTGACTTTCTTGACAATTTTCATTTGTCCAACAGCTTACCATTTCTACCCACCAACTGTTTGCTTCCCACAACTGGGGCAGTGTATTAGGTTCAAGCGAAAAGCTCTGGCAGGCAAGGAAGGCCAGACTGACCCAACCAGGAAGCACCCAACACCTGTCTTCTGGGTCTCTAACCTCACATGACCTTCAGAATCCTTCTTTGTTGTCCCTCTGCTCCCTTCTTCGAGACCTACTCCCACCCTCCATGCCTGTCCAGCCTTCTCCTGGGCACCTCATGCTCCATGCCAGGGCTACTCGAGTGTGATCTGTTACCAGTCCACAAAGAGAAGGAGAAATTGAGGGTAAGCATTTGGAAACTTTTATAGCAATTGACAGTAATTTTAAATCAACTGAATAGAATAACAAAACACCAGGGCTTGTATTTTATACTGTCACTTCACTTTTCCAGTAATTTCTTTTTATTATTTTTTACAAAGGTAACTGTCTATAACAATTTGGAAATTAAAAAGCATCAAGAGAGCTTCCGTGTCACCCCTGCAGCTGCTGTGGCCACCACTGCTGCTGCCTGAGGAGTGGGCCTGGGAAGGAAGTGGTCACCACGCTCGGGGTGCAGCTCTCAAGCCCCTTTGTCCCCTGCAGACCACCCACGGGAATGACCACGGGTAAAACTGAGCTGGTACAGAAAGCCAAACTCGTGGAGCAGGCTGAGTGCTACGATGATATGACCACGGCCACGGAGGCTGTCACAGAACAGGGGCAGGAACCCTCCAATGAAGAAAGAGACCTGTTCTCTGTCACCTACGAGAATGCAGTGGGTGCCCTCAGGTCTCCCAGTGTGTCACCTTGGCATTGGAGAGAAAACAGGGAGGAACAAGAAGCAGCAGCATGTGGCAAGGAGGACTGTGAGGGGACAGAGGCCGAGCTGCAGGACACCCACAACGACGGTCTGGAGCTGAAGGACAAGCACCCCATTCCCAAGGCTATACAACCAGAAAGTAAAGTGTTCTACTTGAAAATGAAAGAAGATTATTTTATATATCTTTCTTTTTCTTTTTTTTTAAGATTTTATTTATTTATTTTTTAGAGAGGGAAGGGAGGAAGAAAGAGAGAGAGAGAGAGAAACATCAATGTGCGGTTGCTGGGGGTCATGGTGTGCAACCCAGGCATGTACCCTGACTGGGAATCAAACCTGTGACACTTTGGTTCACAGCCCGCGCTCAATCCACTGAGCTATGCCAGCCCAGACTAGATATCTTTCTGAGGTGGCATCTGGAGACAGTTAAACAAACTGCTATGGCAAACTCTCAGCAGGCTTACCAGGAAGCATTTGAAATTAGTAAGAAAGAAATGCAGCCTATACACCCAGTTCGACTTGGCCTGACACTGAAATTCTCCACCTTTTACTACGAGATTCTGAACTCTCCTGAAAAGGCTTGCAGCCTGGCAAACACGGTGTTTGATGAAGCAATTGCTGAATTGGACACCCTGAATGAAGTGTCATACAAAGACAGCACGCTGATCATGCAGTTGCTTAGGGACAATGTGCAGACGTCAGAAAACCAGGGAGATGAAGGAGATGCTGGGGAGGAAGAGAACTAATGTCTATTGTGCGTTGTGATCTGCTCAGTGTCACTCCGTACCCTCCACGTATATCCCTTTGTGCAATTAGAAAAAAAAAAAAAGGAATCGTACATCCAAAACAGAAAAGAAACCTGGTCCCTCCGCACAGATAGTTTTAGAAGCACTGCTCTGTACGCTTCCCTTCTCCCTTCTTCAGAACCAGCGCCCACGTCCAAGAGCGTGTGGGAGTGTCAGAGAAGAAATGAGCACAGGCTGGAGAGGGGGAGGGCAGCTGGCCCCGGATCAGGAGACGGCCTGGGACCCAGATGGCCACAGGTTCTGCATTGAGTTTGGCTTCGGGAACTGCTGCTTTGGCTGATTTAAAATAAAGCAGCATAATATGATCTCACAGATTCCTGTTGTTTCAAACATTAAGCTCAAAGATTATAAAAAATCTAGGTAATGAAGTCCCACATGTGGCCCAAAGGAAGGGGTCCAAAACTCCTCAGATGAGGATTAAAACACGGAAATACATGTTCTCTGAGAAAGAAGAAACAATGACGAGCAGGCCCAGCAAGAGGAAAGAGCTAAGCGAGGCATCCGCATCTGGTCTAGCAGCAGGACCAGATACACACCAGGTAGACCGTAAACTGAACAGTAAGAAAACTACATACAAATTCAGAAGTGTGTACAAAATGACGCATCTCTGTCTATCGCAGTGATGTTTATAATGGTAGGAGATGGTGGCCAAGTAAGTGGAAGCCAAGCCCACTTGCTCTTGCCCCCAACTCAGATACTTGGCTGACCTTCTGAAAAACAAGCTGAATATTCAATAAAATCTTAGCTGATATGAAGTTTGGAGGCCAAGGAGTACAGAAGGCATTTCACAATGGTGTAAGGAGATTTTATAGACACAGGGGAGAGAGCCTGGTCAGAGGTCACAGCTTTGAGGCTCCCTCCCCTCCAGGGAAGAGAGCCCCCAGACCTGGGCCAGGAGTGAATACAAAAAGTAGGGCAGATCCAGGCTGTGTGTGTGTGTGTGTGCGCGCGCGCGCACACACACACACACGCACACACACACACACACACACGGAGCAGCACTCGCAACCCTGAAGAGTGCCAGAGAGAGAGGAGGATTCTATCTGCACGGGGTGGGGGGTGGAGGGATGGTGGAGGCAGGCAGCGGCCAGCCGTGACTGTGAGAGACTCCTGGTATTTTGAAGAGGTGGTGTGTATGGAAAGCCAGACAATAACTCCGTGCTGCAGTGGGAGTGTCCAGACAGACTTTTCAAAAGGGGAGTTGAGGCGTGCTGGGCAGGGACACACTGCGCATCTACCCTGCCAGCAAGGGGAATGGACTGAGGATGCAGTTTGCGCCCACTGAGTGCAGCTGGGCAGAGAGATCAGAAAGGTGCAGAGAGAGGGGATTTCTTGGCCCCAGCCCGGCCCAGCTGGAGGGCCAGAGGCTGTGCAAAGTGCAGAGTCTGAGACTGTGTCTGCTGTGAGGGCAGTGGGCAGTGAACTGCATGGGTGAGAGGTGAGCACCTGAGATTATTTACAGCCAGACAGAGCCCCCTTCCCTGGCTATCAGAGCCTCCAGGAGGGGAAGGACAACCCAGCCCCACCTCCTGCAGGTTTGCAAGCACCACCAACTGGGAAGCTCTGCAAAACAGGCAGAACAGGCTGTGGAACCTCCTGCAGGGCGCACATCCTTAAGAGAGACAGAAAGAGAACCGCCTAAAGGGCCCATTTTGAATTTCACTCAAAACAAAATACACCGGTTCCTAGAGTCCTATTTCACTGAGGTCAGCGATGCAGGGAAATAAGAAATCAGTGTAGCAAGGGGGAATCCGAGCTCCACCCAGGCTCAGCTAGAAGGTAGAGATGTCGTCAGCATCAAGCAGGAAATAGCTGACTTTCTTACACAGATTGGCTCCTCCTTGAAATGGACAGCGAATACATCATGAACTATATATTATTGGAAATAAACTGGGACAGACAGGTGGCATAGGGGCAGAGGGGACATATCCACAATTTTTCCAGAAGACTGAACAGTGCCTCCCAGGGGAGACCCAGGAGTCCCACCCTCTGGAGCACAACAGAAACGCCCTCTAGAGGCTGGTGAAGGTGATACAGGTGGTGCTGCCAGAAGTTGGACCAGCCACCCTGGGACCTTGAGCTGATGATGAAAAGCCAGAGGCAGATCCAGAAAGAGAAGACAGAAGATAAGCACTGAATTCTGCTGAGATGAATTCCACCTCATTTTCCTTCAGAATTTACATTATTTTTTTCTTTCTTTCACATAGCCTCTTAATATTTCTTCTTTTGCTTCAACTGTATTCCAACTAATTCACTTTTGTCTTTTACTTTTTATTCTTTTTTTTTTTAAGATTTTATTTATTTATTTTTAGAGAGGGAAGGGAGGGAGAGAGAGAGAGAGAGAGAGAGAGAGAGAGAGAGAGAGAGAGAGAGAGAGAAACATCAATGTGCGGTTGCTGGGGGTTCTGGCCTGCAACCCAGGAATGTACCCTGGCTGGGAATCGAACCTGGGACACTTTGGTTCCCAGCCTGCGCTCAATCCACTGAGCTACGCCAGCCAGGGCTACTTTTTATTCTTTTTACATACATTTTTACACTATTTTAAATTTTATTTTTATTTCAAATCTCACATTGTACCCTTCCTTTGTCTTACTCCATTTTGCCTTCTTCCTGCCCTTCCTAATTTTCACCGTAAATTTTATTTTCACCCATGCTACACCTTGTTCCTATTCCTTACTCTTACTATTGCTCCTCCCTCTACCCCTCAAAATCATTCTTCCATCCTCTAGTCAGCTCACATTCTTTTCCCCTTCTTATAATATTCTTATTTTCTTTCCGCCTGTATAAATTGTCATTTGTTTGGCATGGATATTACAGTTATTGCTGTTCTTCTTCCACAGTATTCCTATTTGTTCATTTTTTTTTTAATTTCACATATCATAGGCTACTCTCCCCCTGTCTTACTACGTTTTGCCTTCCTCCTGTCCTTGCTTATTTGAGTTTGGATTTTTTTTCCCCTTTAGTGGCCTGGATTCTCTTCCTTACTCTTACTATTTCTCCACCCTCTATCCTCTCAAAATCATTATTCTTTACTGTAGATATGTCATATTCTCTCTTCTCTTTCATATAATAATTTTATTCTCTCTCCACTGTTAATAATTTTTGTTCAGCTGTTGTTGTTATTGACCCTGTTGGGGCTTTTCTGCAATTTTGTTCCCTTTGGTTCACTACATTTTAAATTTTATTTCCAACCTAATTATACTCTTCCCTCTTCTTATTCCATTTTGCCAGCACCCTCCCCTGTCTTACTTAACATTTTAAATTGTATTTTCTTCCTTTCTTTGTCTTGTTTCCATTCCCTACTCTTATTATTTCTCCGCCCTCTCCCTGCTCAGTCATTTTTTTCTCCTTTAGTCACCTCATAGTCCCTTTTTCCTACTTTATAGTATTCTTAATCTCTCTCCACCTTTATTAATTTTTGCTCAATTGCTGTTGATATCGCTAATGTTATGGCAGGTACTTTTGCTGGTGTGGGTATGGTTTTCTGCTGGGTTTGGTTAGCATTGCTGTGTTAACCAGCATGTGTAGTACAGCAACGTGGCGGGGGCTGTGACTCCCAGTCAGCCAGCTAGAGGGGAGAACCCACCAATGAATGAGCCACCAATAACCAAAGCCCAAGTATAACAAGAGAGCCCACATAAACTGAGTAAAGGGCATCCCTGGAGCACCCAGATCAGGAGATCAAAGAGACTGCACCACTGAGTCTCACAGAACTCCTACCACAGAAGTCCGCCCCACAAACACAGGCAGGCAGAGCAGAGTAACTTAAGATGCAGAAACAAACAATGAGACTTATGTAAAATGGGGAGACAAAGAAGTAACCCACAATCAAAAGGAAAGGAGGAATCCATAGGAAAAAAAGTAAAAGAAACTGAGGCAAACAATCTGTCAGACACAAAATTCAAAATAATAGTTATGAGGATGCTCAAGGAACTCTGAGAACTACAAGGAACTTTATGCGAGCTAAAGGAACTTGGTGGGAACTACATCAGCATGAAAAAGGACATAGAAACTATGAATAAGAACCAGGAAGAAATGAAGAATACAATATCTGAAATGAAAAACACACTAGAAGGAATTAAGTGCAGGCTAGGTGAAGCAGAGAGCCAAATCAATGAGCTGGAAGCTAAGGGAGAAAGAAATACCCAGTCAGAGCAACAAAATGAAAAAAGACTCAGAAAGAATGAGGATAGTTTAAGGGAGCCTCAGGACAACATGAACCATAACAACATTCACTCATAGGAATATCAGAAGGAGAAGAAAAGGAACAAGGGACAGAAAACCTGTTTGAAAAAATAATGACAGAAAACTTCCCTAACATGGTGAGAGAAAAAGACACACAAGTTCAGGAAGCACAGAGGGTCCCAATCAAGATGAACCCAAAGAGGCCTACTTTAAGACACATCATAATTAAAGTGGCAAAAAATGCAAAAAAAAAAAGTTAGAGTGTTTACAGTAACCAGGTATTATTTACATAAGAAAAATCAGCAAAGCTAAAACACAAACAAATCTTAGAGAGCACCTTCCCCATTTCCCCCCTCTCACCCCTACCTTTCTCTCCAGTCAGGCCCCTTCCTTCCTGGCCCCTCCACACCACATCAGTTTAGGCTCTCACTGTCCCTCAAGACTCTGGCTGGGCACCATGCCTCAGTCTCTTCCCCTCTCCAGCCAATCCTCCCATGCAAGCCGGACTAACCTTTCAAGAACGCCTAGCTGTCCATGATACTCCTGTCTCAGCCTCTTCTGGGGCTGTGCAATGCCCCAGGTGGTGGTTCTCAACCCAAGAGGTGCAGTGAATCTTCAGCACTGTGTTTTACAACCCTGCCCACCTCCCTCAGCTCTGCCACTGCCTGACTTGCAGCTCCTGGCCCACCTACGTCCCTTCATTCCTCCCCCCAGTTGTTCCACCTGCCCATCCCTAAATGCCCACGCAAACATCA